ACCTGTGGCCTTACTCCCAAGTCGACCCCTGTTCTTTAGCTCTTCCCTTCCTCTGGCAACTTTGCACATGCGCACACTGGGAACAGGCTCCAGCTGTTCTTCTGCCCCACTGATGTCTGACTCCGAAGGCAGCTGATAACTGTCAGACGGCCCTGGCCCCCTCTCTGCCTCCGACACAGAGCCCTCCTCAGAGACACAACAGTTGGTGAATTCTGGGAGTTGGAGTCCATGCGTCTTAAAGTTGCCTGGGTTGAGAAAGTTATTCATCTGGGTGCTAAAAGGACAATCAATCTTTCTGGGAACCTTCCTCTCCTTCCTCTCATTTCCAGCCTGATCCCACGCTTCCCATGCTCCGAAGGCGGTAAGCATTTCCCAGCATGGTGTGCAAAAGTGCAATCCTGGGAAAGGCATGTTTGTGATTTGGTCCCAACAGCTTCTTCGCCTGGTTTTTCTCTCACTAAAACCCGTGTTTCCTCTGCTGCTCCAAGTTGGGAAGAGATAGTACAGAAGGCCCCCGCAAAAGGGATCTCCTGGCCTGCATAGGTAGCCTCGGACCTTGTTCATTTAGTGGCCGAAGCTATGAGACTGGGAAAAAGGGAGTTACCATTGGTCCTCGCACTTATGACCATCGCAGCATCCCTATGGTGACGTGAGCAAAATTCGGATGCTTACAACCGGCTTGTATTTGCAACGGTTGAAGCATCATAGGGGTCTCGCAATCAAAAACTCGGGCCACTTGGCAATTGGTTCGTTTTTATGACGGTTGCGGCATCCCGGGGTCATTGTGACCCCCCCCCCTTTTGTGAACATATGACTGGTAAAGTCAGTGGAGGAAGCCAGATTCGCTTAACAACTGCATGATTCTCTTAACGGCTGCAGTGCTTTCCTTAACATGGCAAAAAACAGTTTGTAAAATTGGATGCGGCTCATTTAACGACCGCCTGGCTTAGCAACGGGCATTCTAGGCCCAATTGTGGTTGTAAGTCAAGACCAGACAAAGTCATATAAAAGACCTGCGTGTCTATTCTCCTTTTATTCACAACCAGGGACAAGGAAATTCTAATAAAATTCCCCAACAGTTTTCGGACACGGTTTTTGGCATCTTCTGTTTTATGAAAGAGGCACAATGTTTTAAGCTTTTCCGGCAGGGGTGAAACCCACTTACCTTTGCTACTAGCTCGAGAGCAATGTGAGCATGCGCAGAGCGTCAAAAGGACGTCCGGGCGGGGCCTGCTAGCAAGGGAGCATGCAAACTGGTGGCATTTCACCCCTGCTTTTTGGGTTTAATTCTCCCCACTTCTCAGAAGAATGCAGAATTTCCCCCGTGCTGCTTTCACCCTTCACACCACTGTACGACGAAGCCACAAAGCCAGGCTGTTGGATCCAGAAGGACTCAGCCTCCTCTCCAGGGGCAGGAAGGGTTAAAAGAACAGCAAGGAACAGGAATGCATGAACCAGAATATGAATGTAAATAGAATATTAAATAATAATAAAGAATTAAACAATATGAAGAATATAACACAGCATAACAGGCCTAGAATCATCTCAACCGAAAACAAACAAAAAATTTAAGAAGCGGGGGGACAGGCGTGATCAACAGTTGGTTATAATTCTCTCTGCCCTCAGCAAACACAGATAAAGTTTAACACCAACTTTAAGTTTATTTATTTGTACGCGTAGCACTTCACTCTGAAAACTGACCCTCCACACGTTGTCTTTCTCCATGGCAGAAGACAGGATGTGTTTCCCCCTTGCCCGCCTCTGTTCTGACCGAGGCTTCCCAAGAACATGAAACAAAGTATTGAGAAAAACCTCTTTTATTAATATGCTGTGAATTCTGCTCCTTCACCTCCAGCAAAGTCTTTCAAAGGAGGATTTACGGTCACAGACCTTCTCTGGCTTGGAGAGATGCCAGGCCCAGATCTGCAAAACTTGCCCAGGAGCCTCGGAGAGTCACGAACCAATGAAGCGAACTAATTGTGTCTCCTGCAAACTCCCCTCTTCTTTTGCTCTTTTATTTCCTCTGGGAGGGGCCATTCACCGTCCACTTATGGCCTTCTTCCCAAGTCGACCCCTGCTCTTTAGCTGTTCCCTTCATCTGGCAAGTCTGCGCATGCGCACACTGGGAACAGGTTCCAGCTGTTCTTCTGCCTCACTGATGTCTGATTCTGAAGGCAGCTGAGAACTGGCGTACGGCCCTGGCCCCCTCTCTGCCTCCGACACAGAGCCCTCACCAGAGCCTTCCCCAGACTCCAGGACTGGCCCATGTTCCTCCCCAACCCTCCTCACGGTCCGAATCGGCTGCCAGCTCTGCTGGCCACTGGCGGCCGACAACACCCAGGGTAGTTTTTAGCAACCAGGGCTCACCTGGGGCAATGCTTTGCCAGAAAACGGACGGCAACTCTTACCCTAAATCCTTCTTCCCAGCAGATCCCGGTGAGGAAACTCCGTCCTCAAAGCTCTGAAGTGGCTTCCTTGCAAATCCCGCTGGAGACGCCGGATCTTTTCCAAGGGGGAAAACTAGAAGAAAACACCCACCCTTCTTTCCCAGGCGCCGTTGGCCGCAATTCCAGAATAAAAATGGCAAAGACGATCCAGTTATGTCGCTGGTAAATCCTGGTGAATGGGTATGGGGCGGGGGGAGGGGGAGTGAGTAGAAGCAGGACTCAAATTTTGTGTGAAACACACACAGACACACAAAACAGAATTACATCTGCATACCTACTTGATAGCAATAGCAACAGCCCTTAGACTTATATACCGCTTCTCTGTGCCTTTACAGTCCTCTCTAAGCGGTTTACAGAGTCAGCCTCTTGGCCCCAACAATCTGAGTCCTCACTTTAACGAC